GTATGTATGTATGTATGCGTATATATATATATATATAAGAAAGCTGTTCGATTGTGGATGTGCTGGTTTGTCCTACCCTGATCGAACAGAACGGAATGAAACGAATCATATTTACGTTTCTCTTTCCATTCAACAGAGATATGACTATTTGGTTAGTCTATATGCAGTGCTTACTCTTCCTTCACTGATTTGAGTACTACTGCTTCGTCCATAGGTGGTTTTACTATTTGGTTAGTCTATATGTAGTGCTTACTTCTCCTTCACTGATTTGAGTACTACTGCTTCGTCCATAGGTGGCCCTTGCGACCAAAGTAGATGGAGGTGACACAGCCGTGCAGCTCAATGTGGCGCAGCAATACGTGTCCGCGTTCTCAGAGGTATGTTCCAGAGTTTAAAGTTTAGGGTTTAGGGTTTGTGCGTGTGGTATATGCTCATGTACTACGATCACCTTACAACACCACCGCAGTGTGTGACGGAATGGACGTTCGTCCACACGCAGAGTATCATAGTAGTTTTGTTCCGTCATGTGTGGCAGAGGTCGTTGCCATTCATACTATAACACACACGTCTACCAGCGTGTCTTGTGCAGTTCACCGGTGATTTATTTTTACACCGTTCATAGCCCTAACATCATCTCACCACAACTTTCAGGTGGCCAAGGAAAGCACCACCCTCCTGTTGCCCGCTAATGTAGGGGACCCCAGTGCTATGATTGCGCAGGTAGTATCGATTGATAGGCGAGTGTGCGTCTGTGTGATGCGTGGTGTATGTATTGGTGCAGTCTGTTCTATTTTTTTTGTTTGTTTGTTTTTGTGCTGTTTTGATGGTTTCCCATCGCTACTACCCTACGTGTGGTGTTTTGAGCTTGCCTGTCAACTTGTATTTCCATGAGGGCGATTGGTTTGCTATTGGTTTGTGTGCGGAAAGGATAAAGTAGAGTATGGTGACGGATGAATATTTGAGGCATCAATGACACCTCTTTTACTGTTGTATATATATATATATATAATATCCTCCTCTGCCGTCCAGTGTTTGTATGTCTTCGAAATTAAAGTATCGTGAGAACATATCAAAGGGACAACGAGTGTGATGGTGTTCGTTTCCATCGTCAGTAAGAAGGTTCGGCAGTAGCAACACTGTACCAACTCCGTCATAGTTCAGCGTGTTCAACTACCGCCCAAGTGCAATAAAGCACTCGTTTGGCGCTGAAGTTTATCTGTCTCTGCAAACTCAGTTTGCGTGTACTGTGACATATGTATCGTTTGTTAGACTCGTTTTTAGACAAAGTTATGGTCACGTGCTGGTGTGTCGAAGTGAAGCTATCAACCTCTAACCAGCTACTCCAGCTTAAAGCGTATAGGAAGTGAACTGTTTAACAGCCGTATCTGCTGCAAGAATACTGTTTCGGCACCTAATATCAGTGGCCAGAGCTATGTGCTTGTCTTTTGAAACTTGACACAGACTAACTCAAACAGAGAAGTGAACATCAGCCTGATCATGCGTATAGCGGCGCATATTATATATACATCATTGGTTTTGTCTTCTTGTTCATTCACTGTGGCATTTGCTTGTAGCACGTAATTAATTAAATACTGCTTTCACAAGGCATTGTCTTGCAAGCTTGTATACTGAGCGCGGCTCCACCCAACCATTAACTGATTTATTTTACACTCTCCACTAGGCCCTCTCAATATTCAAAAAGGTGAACAGTGGAGAGGCTGCGACAAAGTCCTCGTCCTCGTAAACACACAGCCTGCGTTGGTGCCGCCAGTCACGCTTGCGATCTCAGGTGAACTCGTCGAACCACTGGGGCACGACTAGTCCTTTGATACCTTTGATAGGTCGTCACATCGTATGATTACTCTCGGAGACTATGTGCGATACTTTGGTCCCTCGCATAGTAGTTATGGAATACGCCGTTCTCGCATTGATCAAATGGACTTTGATTGCTGTATTCTGAACTTGATATGACAACAGAGCCGGTCATGTGCATACAGGGAATACAATGGCTGTGAAGTACACCGCGAGTCGAGTTATTACAGAAACATTTCACAGTCAATAAATGCAACAATTCATTGTGCCGCCTACGTTGCTCTTTTTGTCTTCAGCACGCCGTTTGCGATTATGATCCACAGCACCGAACCGAGTATGGGGATGTGATAGAACTAATTAGATTCAATCCTAAATATGTATATATCTATATCTATATCTATGTATATGTATGTATATATATATATATATATATATATGTATATTTGTATGTAATATATTATATATATATGTATATATTTATATATACATATATATATATATATAGGTATTGATATAGATATACGAATTTGTATTGGTGTTGTATATATATATATATGTGTGTGTATGTGTGTATATATGTATATGTATATGTATATGTATATATATATATGTGTGTGTGTGTGTGTGTGTGCGTATATGGATATATATGTGTATATGTATATGTATATATATGTATATATATATATATATATATATATATATATATATATATATATATATATATATATATATATATATGTATATATATATATATATATATATATATATATGCGTACATATATACATACATATATATATATACATACATAGATATATACATATATATATA